CTTTGCACAGCCTGAGATGGAAGACAGCACCTACTATAATTACAGCAGACACTGAAGCTGGTGACCAGCTAAACTGTTTCTCGAAGCGCTCTGCCCAGCCTTCCAAGCGTCTTTTTAAGCTGGTAATCGGTGTGCCATCTGCCTCACAGACCGTCTCGCTGACATTTCCCTTCTTGCTGCCGGTGGCTCGGATGAGTTGGAACAGCTTCTGAATGTTGCCAGATGCAGCAGCTGACTCCATCTCACACACACGTTCTGAACACCAGGCTTCGTCATCCTTACGTAAACACTGTCTAGTCTTGCGCTTAAGCGCCTTTCGCTTATTGTTGTATTCTCTGCAAACCGGAATGGACCGGCGTTCATCCAGGAGTTGCAGAGAACTGGCAGAAACCCAGTGGTTTTCAGCGGAGCATTCTTTCAAGCCACAAGCGGCTACGCTCGGCCTTTGCATGGCACCTTGCAGATGAAGGGAATGTTCATCTATGCTATTTGGGGGGGGTTACTGGTAAGCATTCATTGTAACTCATTCTGGTATTTCAAAGAAGTAGCAGGTGCTACTAGTTTGCTCACATCAACGTTTATACGACGCCTTTTATGAACCCCATCAAATCGCAAGACGAACTTGGCACACACTAACGCATGATCGGAGTTCAGACATGTGCTCCAGAAGGAGCGACAGTCTTGTATGCATCCTCGCCACCGGAGACTGACAGCAATATGATCAATGAGTCCAAGCTTGCTTTGCAGAGGGAGGACGCCAGGTAGCGCTACGGTGATGGCTGTGCCGGAAGTTGGTGCTGGCTAGAAATAGGTTGTGATCCGCGCAAAGCTGCAGAAGACGGTCTCCATTATCTGACCTGCGACCATGTAGTCCCCACTGACCACCTAGGCAATTCTCCTCTGAGCTTAGACGCCCGACCTGTGCATTCAAGTCCTCAGCCAGCACTACGATATCCCTCCGACCCTCCTGTTTTAAGAGATCGCTCAGTTGGTAGTAAAACTCATCCTTCATTGCATCCGGGCGGAAATCCGTTGGTGCATAGACAGACACAACAAATAGACACCACCTATCTGGCCTACTACTCCTTACTTTCGTATAACCTTCCAGCCTCACAGTATATAAACGACTGTTAATGGGAATCCAGTCGAGCAATGCAGCTTCGGCTCTACAGCTCAATGCGACACCGACACCAGCTACGCCGGATACCGACGTCACAGGGTCCCCGTATAAGCGCAGGTGGTACATACTACTAGAACTTCGAGATGGAGAGGATAGTCGAAGCACTTCCCTGGGACCTAGAATGCGGGTCTCCGAAATGCAGAAGACATTGATAGCGAGGCTTTCCAATGTTCTTACCAACCCTGCCTGTTGTCCGATTCGCATCGGCGTCCGAACATTGTAGGTGGCCAGCTTGAACGCGGCAAGCGGTTTCAGGATATATGTTAGATGTCACATTGGGGACAACCATTACTCACTAACATCTCAAAGCGACACAGATAGGCTGGGAATCTAGACAAAGGCAAAAGGCTGTCATAGGTTGAGAAGTCAGGTTTAGTAAAGGTAAAAAATCTATGTCTAAAAATAAAATTAAGGTAGGAAGGACATAAATTACTTAAGACATCAATATTACTTGAAATCATTGTTAATAGCGCGCGATGAGTTCCAATTAGAGTTTGTTGCTTTATTTCATTCATTTTGCGAGGGCTGAGATACTGCCCGGGGGCCCAGACCGAAGCAGGTGGTTTATCAAGGGACCCATAGCCTTTGACTTGGAGTCTAATTCGCAAGGCAGCGGAGCAGCGTCAGGAGCTAAATTCCCATGGTTGCCGGTGACCCATATGGGTTTATACGCCATTTAATCAGATTGGATTCTGGAGCCTATGTACCCCATGATAACTGCTTTCAGTCTAACCGCTATCCAAACAACCTTCCTGACATGGTAGGACCTGCAGGGGCATGAGTCCCAACCAGTTTAGCTTGTTGGATCACTGAGGTATTCAAGCCCAACTACCACGGCAAGGTAGCAGTTGTCGGCCGGGTTTTCAAGTGTTTGTTTGTAGGGATACGATTGGCTACTGGATTTCATCATGAGCTGACATTGATTAGGGGACCAACGAAAAACTTGTGAGTACTAGACAGCTGTTTTGTCTTAGTTAGAGACTCTTCATCAGTACGCACACACCGTGGTTCGAACCCAGGGCCTTCTGGTTACAAAGCGAGCTCGTAGGCCATTAGGCCGCTGGGACCTGATCCAGTGGCCCATGAATTCTAACTCGTAGCACAGCGCGACCGCTAACCAACATCTTCGGTGAGTATTTGTCCTCACACTCAACCAGCTGCACCCTACTGGCCACGACTTTTCACTAGAACCCCAGGTAACTACCTACCTGAATAGGGCCAGTGGCTGGTGAGCATCTCATCGATTTTCTGGAAGCCCAAGCCTTCATAATTATAGTGAGTATTTCATTCAATAAATAATGATATACGGAATTCATTTTGAGGATGGATCGTATAGTGAATCACATAAACAAGTATTCATATCTAAGATCCATATGCGATCGCGTGTACGTAATAACTTTTCGACTATGTTGGTGGATAAATGAGTGCTGCATATTACTGCTGTTATCGACCATTTCAAAAAACAAAAAATTAACAGTCCCTAGGTGCAGTAGACATTAGCTTGACAATGTTAACCAACTGCGTAGTATGAACACTCCCCATGAAACATACAAGCAACAAACCTGACTACCCACCTGATACATAAGAAATCTATTTATTGGTGATGACTTAGTTATCACATTACAGAAAGGAGGAAATTACAGTACAGTCAGAGAGAGATAGACAGACTAATGACAAATTATCGTCCCGTTAAAAATATAGTAAGCCACCATTTATTCCCCATGTTCCATAAAACAATCGAAACCTAATTACTAAGGCATACACACGCTGAAAACTTTAAATGACATGAGAATTATTCAACTCTCACTTCTACTTCGTTTTATCTATAAATTTATGTTTATGTTCATTGATTTCTTGCATTCTGGGTAGGACGTAGGTCTTCAACAGCACATCTCCCCTACACTCAACTCTCTGCGATGACATTATCAACAAGCTAACCAAAAGGTTTCACCTGCTTTTCATATGATCTCAACCATGTCACTTTTTGACTGACAATCAGACGATTCCTGTTTGGGTCCAACTCGAGAGCCTGTTGTGTTACGTGACTTGAAGGGGGGGGGGCGGTCAGAGTATATCCACTGGAACTAATTTATTTTTAAGACTTTGTTTACATAGTGAGCACCAGGTCCGAGTCTCATTCTACTTACTTGAGCAAGGTTGTCATCATCAGCCCCCACAAAGTAAGTTTAGCCAATTGCCTGATGACTAATTTCAAGTAAACTAATAGATCATCTGTCTAGAAAACGAAAATACCTACACAATTGAGTAGCATGTAATATATATAGAAAGCTGACAGACGTCCTTATCGCTTATTCGAAGCTATAAAACATTCATTGAAAGAAAACAATGCATGATTACCACAATGTAAAAACCATCATCAGAAACTACAAGGGTCACTATGACTATTGAAAGTAAGAAGTTCATACAAACTGGTCTGAGTCAAACTAACACGCAGGAAGATGACAATTCATTGTCTGGTAATCATGCACATCGCCTCCAATAAACTATTCAAGACATTTTGCACCTATACTAAACTATGAGGCTAATACTTTCCTGTACAACGGTTGATTAGGTTCCATTGGGTGCAGAGGAATTCACATACAGTGGCTAAGAATCAAACGCTTAATTCAAAAACACTAAATCTTACTGAGATTGTGTTGTCACGTAATGCAAGATACTACAAATGTATTTACAGGAGCTTATATTGTGATGTGGAGTACGAATAAAAGGTTGAAAATACCAGTCTAAGTGGGGTTCAAGAGCTAGTTTTATTTCAAACAAACTGTGGTTGCCATGTTAAAACCAACACGAGAAATGTCTCCTGTCGACCAAGACTAGTCCGACTTGATTACAGCTACGCACTAACTGCAGTACACTCGGCCAGTATTAGCTTAGATGCGATGCTCTGTATCGTGTAAACTCAATTCCGCAACACATATCACATTCCTTTACATTTACTAACCAGTTTTGATTCACGATCGAGTTGATAATTCACTTGCGAAATGACTCTTCCACACCCATGAATCTCAAATGTTTGTGATGCGAATCACAAACTGTTCATCTTCATGTTTCGAAACCGAGCTATTTATAACAGAAACTACGGGAGGATCGCACAGTCTCTACACCGAATATATCAGACGGGGGAATTAAGTTTCCAACCAACCTGTAAATATTAATCACAACATACTGAATTTGAACGCCTATCAATGACACAAGTTGAGGTGTACAATCTCAGACAATTTCGGACGGCTGTGACCCAATGGACAGTAGTAAAAATAACATGATAACTCAAGAATAGATGACATTGTCAATGTAGTAATGGCACATCTGCAGAATACGAGAACAATACAAAATTACAAAGCCCGTGAGTTTCCTGTTCAAAATACAGTCTTGCATGGGTACGATATACTGTGACAAGCATTAAGAAAGGAAAGACAACAATTAACATAGCCCTGAAGAATGCCGCATAAAACCTACAAACGACGGTTGAGTCTCACCTTAACGCGCTGTAACAGGCAAACTTGTACATTCCATTAGTACAGGGCAAAGTGAGTTAATGCTGCGACTCTCTTCCAATATGCAGTAGAGACTAGAATTTCACCTAAACGAACATGAAAACCATTCCTGCGATACATAAACACTAAGTGGTAGCCTCCTGACTCTGCTACCTTGATTTGATGATCGGGTTTGGATATCCCAAAGACCAAACGAGCTACACTGACTGGGACCAGCAAAGTTGCAAGTCTTATCATATCAGAAACGTCTTTTGGATAGCGGTGAAACTAGAGGCAATAATAAGAGTGCCAGTCGTCTGCTATATGTTGAAGGCGCGTGGGTTTATTCGTACTGCTGGGGGTGTGACAGCAGTACAGTGCTTCCCTTAGGCGACCAGAAAGCAAGCTATGCTGCCTCTCCGTTCTAGTTAAGGGGGAGTTAGGAAAGGTCGACCTCGAAAAATGTGCATTTCGACTTACCTTGCAGCGGCAAACATTAAAAGCAACGCAAACAGGCCGTGTGACCAGCCTATAAAACTAACGCAGTCTGTTCCGGACAATGCAAGGAAATAAACTTCCATGGATTGAGCAGCAGGAAGTAACAGTCGCTCACACTCCCATAGGAGCATACACAGCTTCCTACTTAACAAAGAGCAAAGAACAAACAAATCTGCCAAACGACACATGCAAGCAACAAAGAGCCATGCATCCCAGCAAATCATAAACACAACTCAACAAAAATAGTATTCTAAACTCAACATAATCCAATTCCCATCCAGATACTTCGAGCCACAAACAACTTTTCAGCTGCTGAGTTTAAGACACATGCCCCACTGGCATTAACGTAACACTGAACACCTGGGTAAGGTGGCAGGAGGACATCGGAACTTTGAACCACTTCACACTAAACCCGTAGGAACTACCAAGGTTTTTAAAATTGTGTACTATCCAACTAACTACTGTGATCGGATGATTGAGAGCAAGAAGGAAGTACAAAAAATCAGCGAAAGATTACAACCTTTTTGTGAACGCAAGTTTGAGAAGAGATGTGATCGAAACTCACCAGTCAACCTATCACAAAACAAATGTTTAATGGGAGTACGAACATCTGATATATTAGATAAGGATGGCATCTTTACAGAAATGCATAGTAATATCAAGGATTAAGAAAAGTGACATCAGTAATAAATGCAGTTTAAAGTGATAAAGTTATGAACGTGTTGCAGCAGCATTTGTGCCTGTTGTTGGACCAGAACGCTGGGCTCCCGAACGGTTTTCAGGTGTGTGCCAAGTCAATCTTTCTTCGTAAAAGCGAATAACAACTTGAGGACATTTGATATTAGCTTCACGGGCAGGCACCAAATCAGCCTCATCGGAATCTTTCCTGTTTAAAAAAACAGTAAAAACAGCCACGTAAGACACCAGTATCTTTGTGAATCAATGGAAGTAAAACTAATCACTTTAAACTCTTTGGGGGACATACCATTTCATTAGAAACATCAACTCTCCGCTGGAATCAGTCGCGCCAATTATTCTTTCAGCTTTCAATCCACGAGCGAACCCACGAACCTTCCCAGATGATTTCGGTGTCTCAGCCTGCAACCAGAAATGAACGATCATTGACATGATTATTATTCTGATGTAAAGATTTAGGTGTGCACTCAAAGGTAAATACTACGGACACCCATACCATACTACATCTATGCATCAAAAAGCCGTGCTAGAAGTGACGTCACTGATTTGTGATGCATTATCTTAATTCCATCCACTCGAAATCTGTACCCCTGATTTATGACCTGAGAAACAGTCGAACTTATTTTGCACGAATGATTGAATGTAAGTTACTTATCAGTATTTACCTTCCGATGTAATTATAACTGTTTACAACCTGTATACCAAGTGTTCAGATGGAAAGTCCTACCGGGACTTGATGTATTCACCAAACCATGTTCTGTCTGTCTGTCTGTTTTCGACATAGAACTGCACAAATGTGCGGAAGTTCAAGTCGCCACATTCCGTGTAGCACGCGAAGCAAGAGAAGAAAGTACAAGAAAAGCATAATAGAAACAGTGAGCAGAGGTGTGAGACAAAGGAGTAATAACGAAGATCAAAACAGTTTCATTGAAGATCATAAGTCACAGGGAGTGGATGCATCTGCGCCACTGAGAACGATTTTGAGCCATGTCACCAATTGTTTCCAACCATAGATTTTTACCATCCCGAGGACCCCAGCCTGGAAGTCTACACCTTTCTACGTGGCTTAGACCAACTGTTGTGGATTTCATTGACTGATGCCAAGTTTTTGTTTGACCGCCGCTAGCTTTTTTCCAGCCTGACCCTATATCCGCTAACATAGCTCGTCGAGGGAGGCGATGACTTGGCATACGTAACACATGTCCTAACCATCTCAGTCGATGTAGCTTCACGACTTCGTCGATTGATTTCCCCTGTTTACCTAGAACTCTACGCCTAACCTCCATGTTGCTCACCTTATTATGCCACTTTACACGGGAAATAGAACGCAGGCACCTATGATCAAAGACAGCTAGTCTTTTCATGTCTTCCACTCTCAGTGGTCAGGTCTCACAACCATAAAGGAGGACGGAGCGGACTGATGAGCAGTACACCCGCCCTTTGGTCGATAGTCGAACATCTCGTCTACGCCAGAGTCGGCGTAAACTGGCAAATGCGAAACGAGCCCCCCGTATTCGTGCTGAGATTTCGTCAGAGATCAACCCATTGGCACTGGTTGATGGTACTTCCCAAATAAGTGAAGCGGTCAACGTGCCCTACCACTTCACTTCCTATTTTTAAACTAGGCGTCGATGAAGTGTCCCGTCCTGTAACATCATCTTGCATTTGGCGGGAGCGAATCGCATGCCAAACATTCGTAGATTGCGGCTCAAGGTGTTTAGAAGACTCTGCATTTCGTCAGCGTCTTCGCCTAGAAGGACTATATCGTCTGCATATTCCAAGTCAACGAGATTATTCCCCGGTAGCAAGTCAATTCCTGAGTCACTGAAGTCACCTAGGGTTAAGTCCATTTACACATCTATGATGAAGTTCAATAGAAAAGGAGATAATGGGCATCCTTGACGGACACCACTGGTCGTCATCAGTTCAGATGACAGCTCGCCGTAAGCCCTCACCTGGCTGTATGAGTACGAATAGAGTGCCTTAATCAGTGCAATATATTTTCTCGGGATTCCCTTTACAGCCACGCATCTCCAGAGAACTTCCCGATCGACAGAGTCGAATGCTGCCTTTAGGTCAAGAAATATAATGACTGTTGGACACCGGTAGGAATGCCTATGTTCTAGAATCTGTCGGAGGGTGAAGATATGATCAATACACCCAATCCAACATCATGTCCAATACAAAATTACAAACCATGTTCTAATGTTTGTTTTGTATTAAAAATTCACATCAGGAAATGTTTCCGAAAAGGTTTAGACCTACCTTTGTGTCCTCTTCTTCTACTTCTTTTGCTTTTTCTGGGACACTTACGATCTCAGTGACTGGCTCCTCGGTGGCTGCAGGTATGTTAGATGCGCGTTTCTTTTTGGCAGGCTCTGGGGCTTCTTCTGCTTGGTCTTTAGAGGTATCGGAACTAAGAGACGAACCCTTAGATCTACTTCGTACCCTTGGTTCTGCACCCGTACTAGTCCTCGCTGGACTGGCCACTGAATTTTTCTCACGAGACCGCCGCTCTTCGAATTCCTGCAATGTAAAGTATTTAGCAATGAGTGCCGCGTCAGTTTTGAGTATAGTGCTGTAGAATGTGTGGAGATGACACGGAGATACTAAATTAGCAAATTTAGACAGCGTCGCTATATAATATGGCAACCACTTCCACTGTCTATATCACAATAATTCACCGTTACAGTGAAGCGCATTTAGACAGTGACATTACAAATCCACGATTAACTACAACATCAAATGAATGTCGATAAACATAAATTATATGACGTGAAAACTAACGGCATATTGTGCACAGTTACTGTTGTGGTAATTAAAATAATTTTCCCTCATATTTACCTTAATCAGATCTGGACAATCCAAATTCTCTTCAGGCTCCCATGTGTTGTCTTCTTCTGAATAGCCTTTCCACTTCAAGAAATACTCCTTCCGTCCATTTCTGATACGAACTTTCAGGATTTTTTCCACCTGGAATTCATCTTCACCTCCACTTTCCTCCGACTCGCGGTTATTTTTCGAGGGCATCACTAGTAGTCACAGGTTGAGCGCAATCACAATTGAAATTTAAACACTGAAGGTCACCTCCATTAAACAAAGTTTCGCATATAGTAACACATCAGATTCAGACTTTTTAGGCTTAGAGAGTACTCTGATACTTTTGTATAAGGCATTTATGCTTTTTTATTCTCTAATTGGCTGAGTCGACCGATGGCGCAAACACAACTTGGGGTAAATAGTTATAAGCTTTGTCCCTGGCTTTGATGCTCTCCAACTAGATCCTCTGAGACGAATGGAATGATGAGACAAATCATATCGATACTCATTTCTTAAGAACCTTCCACTCTACCATGAGGAGAAGTTATTCAATCTGTTAAGCCGTCTCTCACATGATACACCAGTCACACCAATAATGACAAGCGACCCTTTTTTGAACAATTTTCAACAGCCTGTGGTCTCTTTTCAGATAATAGCAGATGGCTCTGATGCGGTTTCAAGCGGTCGCCTTACAAGAGATGCATCTGAAATCGTGAAGATATCACTGGTAATTCTGGTAAAGGCCGCACGTATTGCCTACTGTTATCTAAAGCCATAACCTACATCTGGGCGACAGTCTGACTCAGTCCCTCAGTCGTCAGTTACTCTGAAGCCGGAGTCTCCGTAAGTATAAGCTGTGGTATGTTCCTTGTATGTCATACGCGCAGGAATTTGTGTGCACAATGCGTGTGGTTGTACAACTCATTTGTTTGATGTGAAGCATCCATTCTTTGGGAGAACTCAACAGAACATTGAGTACATTTGCTGTGTAAATTGCTGTCACCCATCTATCCTACCAAAGTTCTTATATCATCCGTATAGAGAGCTATAAGAGATTGTATGAGCCTAGGAAACCCCGTAATGCATAGCATATAAAAGGATATTGTGCACCATAACTCGTAGCACAGCACTTCATCCACTGTCTAGAAAGTTTTATGTCGATCTTCACTTTGTCTCTTACAGGCAAGAAGTAATGATAATGATAATATATATTTATTCATGTCTAGTAGTTTAATCCAGGTGAGTAGACTGTCCATGATGCCAAAAATTTCCATTTTCACGGGGAATCTGCGCGCGACTGTTCGCCCTGATGAAAAGTGTAAGGACATTTATCATTTTCCTTTTCATTCTGGGCTTGACCCAGCAATCCATTGCCGCGGAACAGCCTGTAGGGCAAAGCTGGCTTCCGAGTAAATTATGCTGATCTTTGAACAACATGGTGTTGTTTTCTAAATGCGTCCAGACAGTTTTCCTGACTTTTCTTATCAATTCCTTGGTGAAGGTACTGTGAAGACGACTAGGCCAATAGTTACTATCCGCGTCCCACGAATCAAGTTGTTATAATCCCTGTTAAGGGGATAGCCTGAAGATATTGGTCACTGAGCAAGATGTGTGACTCCCATATCTTCAGAAAGTCTTAAGCATAAAATACATGAACGGAATTTACCTCGTTTTCCTGTGGCACAATCAGAGCCGGTAATGTGTGCTGGTGACAACTGTATGAGAACCTGTCGAGAGATGTGCTATTGTATCTGTTATTTCTTTGTTTTCCTCGACTGTGCGTCCGTCAGTAATCAGGTTGCAGAAGCAATGAAACTAATTCTCCTCGAGGTCCATACATGAATATAATTTTATCTTATTAGTAGCCAGACTGATTTTGCATTCCATCCGTGATTTATTTACTGTCGCAAGAATTATTGCAGTCGCGCAGGTAGACAGCAGATCTCTAGATCTAACCATTTTGGTCAGCTTGCTAATTCAACTGCGAACAAGGGCATTGTGCTTAAAATAATCGCTTGCATTGTTTAATTTTTTCGAAAATGATCCCACTGGTTAATGATCCCGTGGTCTGATGCGGTCACAGGAATAATGGAATTTAAGCCAGCTTTTATACTTCTGGACAAAATAGTGTTTTAGCATGAGGTTCACCAGCGAAAATCAAGATAATGAGAGCGTGGCCAGTTTCTCCTAGGAGTGGAACATACTGCATCAAGTTCATATGCACACCGTAGAGGAAAAACGATTTTAAGCCTTGGGAGTATCTCTGAGAATCATGACGTGTGGGTTCCGCAGAACAGTGGACTATGGTGAGTGGCTTTATTGCATATCCTCGCTAATTGTAACGTTTCAGTCTGCTGCTGTTATGGTTCAGTGAAAAGCTATATTTATGCGCTCATGGTTTCACTGTGTACAGACCAGACCGAAGTAGTGTAAGGAAGCAGCCATATGGTGGCGTTGCTAATTTCATTAATTCTCAGTGGTCTGTTGCCAAAAACGTCTGCTTTAAATTCCCAAATTGTGACATTGACTGCATAACTGTTAAATATCGACCCAAACACCTTTCTGAGGACAACTTCGTTTTATCATGAACATTTACATTACTCCCTTTTGTAGCACTTTAGAAGGACCTATGTTTACTGATGAATTCATTTTTTTGCCGCCACCGCTTTTGATAAGTCATTGTTCATGGTAACAGGCGATTTTAATTTGCGTGACTTCAGTTTTCATATAGTGTTAGGCCATGAAAATATTGCTGACTTTCTCACCCTACTGGATACTTCTCATGATCTTGCATTTGTAAATGACTTTGGAATATATAATACTCATAAAAGAGCCCCACTTTTTAACTCCGATCATTGCATCATACGAGTTTTAACCGAAATTTATCGAAAATTACGCAAGAGGACCTTCTTACCTCCATCCAAGAAAACTGTACATAGGCCTTATTCCAATGAGAATACTTAGACTCTTTGAAACATACTCACAGACATAATGTGAGATTTTTTAATAAAGACTTTCTTGATGACACCATCTCAAAAAATACATTTATGTCAAATTTTATCTTGAAACCTATTGTCTCAGAGAGACACTTTTCAGCAGATTTGGTCGTTTCTCCCTTCATCTTGAAAAGATTCTCAAGGAAAAGGCAAATTTATGTAGCGGTAAATAATTCCCCAAAATTATTGACCATAAGAATAGATTGTGTCTAAGAATCGAATTACATCGTGACCATAAGAATTATCAGTGAACATTTGAAACTGACCATTAGAACTTAAGTCGACTTGTTTAGCTGGAGGCTTCTCCTTAAGCATCTCCACCATTGGGTACTCCGTTCTGTCACTTTCGTGCACGATAACTGGCTATCTTAGCTCCCGCTTCAATCCACAATTTGTTCCAAATAAATCTCTTAATTCGGACCATCACTTCTGGTGTTTTGCCTTGCCTTTGGTACATAAGAAACAAATATGACAGAAGTTGTTGGTATAAGATCTTGCGTTGATATACTCAGTACTGTTAGTGAACGTCTATACCGTCTGCCTCTAAAGTTATATAAAATGAAGGATAACGTTAGTTTGAAAAGAATTAACATCCTAATCAAGTCTGAAATGCACAGACTGAATTCAGTTTATAACCAGCAGCTAATATCCTGCAAAAATGCCTCCAATATATGGAAACTTCTCAAAGAAATTACTGTTGGCAAGCAGGCGCAGTATTCCTCATTCATTTGATGTGTCTACACAAACGCCAAGCTCTCTAGCGTCACAAGTCTTAACAAAACCTGTTTCCCTAGCTTCAACATAATGACGTTCTAAAACGTCTCCCATCTACGAACCCAGACGGTTTCCGTACTTTTTCCCAAAAATGTGCAAATATCCTGTGGTATCCTATCATTGACATATTTAATGAATCTTCCTCCAGAAATGTTGTACCAGCCATTTGGAAGGACGTTAAAATTGTAGCTATACCTAAGTCATTCACCGGAACTTGTTTTAAATTTAGACCTATCGCTATTACCTCTCCTTTTCTAAAACTATGGAAAAGTTTCTCTTACTTAATCCTTACCCTTCACTTAAAGCCTTTAGCGATCCCAAACAACTCGCCTACTAACATAGTAGAAGTCCATTAGATGCATCTGCAGTCTTGCATCATAACACTGTCTCCAGTTTAGACAAGGGAGCTAAATCTGTTCGCTGCGCCTTCCTAGATTACACAACTGCATTCTACTTTGTACCTAGGGATATTTTGTTTAAAAAAGCTTGCTGTAACTCAAACTGACTGATTGGTTGTCAAATAGCTGCGTTCTTATTTCTCAGAAAGTAGTACACTGCATGTCAGGAGAAGTCGTCGACCTCATTGCTTACTGAGGCTGGTGTCCCTCAAGGAGCTGCCGTTTCTCCTTTTCTGTTTTCTTTCTTCTTGCATGACTTGCCTCACTCTGATGACGAAATGAACTTTGTTAAGTATGCGGACGATCTAATTATTTCGATGTCTGTTAACTCCCAGCTTGACTTTACTAAGATGAACAGCAAATGGTCTTTGTCTAACGGTCTTATACTAAGTACTTCAAGATATCACTCTTAATTTCAGTTTCCGATGTAAAAGAAAGTTAAATGAAGCTGTTGGTTCCTATGACCCTTGCAAAATTGATGATAGTGATATAGAAATCGAGTCTGACGTTAAGTATTTTAGATTAATTCTTTTTTTCACTTACCCTGATCCTCCCATGTCTTAGCGATTTCTAAAAGAATATTTCATCTGACTTCTTACATTTAGAATTAAAGCACTCAGATATAACTCAACAACTTCTTACTGTTTATCAACTAGTACATGTTACCTATTCTTCTTTACTGTTCACCCTTATTCTTTCCTTGATTGCTTAAAAAAGACTTTGTCATACTGTACAGAACTCTGAAGACTGACTGTCGCTAGGGCGAATGGTATCCCACTGAACAATATCGTTGACATCGTCACTGATGGGCATTTGGCTGCATGCAATAAATTCGCTAAACGTATTTTGTCAGACTGTGAGTATCCACTTTACCCGCAACTGCAACCTTGTATCTTCTAAGGTAAAACAGGAAGTCTTTTCAGAAGACTTTATGCACGTACGTCTAAGTACAAAAATACCACTATGCCAAATTTGTCACGTACTTTGTATGATGAAAATAGTGTTAGGCATGAACCAACTAACCTTTGCATTAGTAAATAAACCACTTTCTCCATCCTTAATCCACCAAGCTTTATTGTTATTGTACTTCCTACATTTATAATCCTCTCA